AGATTTTATAAAATGACAATAAAAAAAAGTTCATCGAATTTGATCAGGTGGATGTTGGTCAAAGTTTTAAAAAAATTACGCATATTCTATTTTCGACGTTTCGAATTGTTTGTTAACTTTTTGAACAAAATATCTTGACAACCACCTAATTAATTTCGATCATTGAATTTGGTTAAGTAGCTGTCGAGATGTCTTTTCAAAAACAAATATCTAGCTAATGAAAATCATTTTTTTGTTTATCTTATTGTAACTCTGCCTTTTATCCTTTAACTTCGCTTTTTTATAAAGTTCAGATACCAGTCGTTTCGTCTTTGGGGTTTCATCTTTCAGAGGTTTCGTATTTATCCAGGAGTTTCACCTTTCGCCAGGGGTTTTGCCTTTCGCCGGGGTTTCGTCAAGGTTTCGTCACCTTTCATCCTTTTACCGTTCAAGTTTCATCTTTCACCATTTTTGTAAAACAGTTTCGCCTAAAACAACTATAGTTCGAGAATATATATAAAACTGACGCAATTTCCTAAAAGGATGTTGTAATTATGATGTAAATTTACATAATTAACTAAGAAAATAAAATATATAAGTTCGATATTTCTTTAACGTGAATTATTTCTTGGTTATAAATATCCATATTAAATATTTCACGCGCGTCTAACAAATTTTTCAAAAAATGTCAGCACACCGTGACACTATATCTCATGTTTCCCACATCGCACAAAGTTATTCTAATATCAAAGAAGGCAAAGAGCAACCTCACGAACTTCATGATAAGTACGTTCATCCTTCATCAGATCATGACCCTAAATTACCTTTTAATCCAAAAATGGCCATTGAACGAGAAAGTCGTAAACAACGTACTGATCATGAAATTGAAGAGGAAGAACAAGAAATTCTGAGAAAGAAGGACGAAAGGCAAAGCAAGAAGATGCCAGCTAAAAAATGAAGCAAATTATTGAGATGTTAATAATCTTATAATAACGTATTAAACTGTTATTATACATTAGTAAAATAAAATTTTGACATTTGAAAGATTTCTTTATAGTACCATTGCAGCCGTCATTACAATATTTTTTTTTAAAAGGCAATACATTAATACATAGACGAATTTAATATTTTAAATTTATCTTGATTCATATTAAATTTATATTATATTTTGTCTGCAAATACTTTTTATTAGATTTCTTTTTTAATTATTAAATGGAAAATGAAAATTATTATTGCCTAACTGAGCTGTGATGTAGTTAATTAAAAGCTTTTTTTTTTTTAGATTAATATTTTTGGAAAGTGAAAATATCAATTAGTTAATTATGGTATCCTAATGTTGTTCAAAGCTACCCTATTGACACTTCAAGTCTTCCAAAAGAACAACTAATTATTATTATATGTGCAATTCTAATTTTGAAAAATCTATCATGAAAAAAATAATGAATTAGGTAGTGTAAATACGGTAAATACGCGCTGAAATTAGGAAGGGTACGTTTCGAAATATTATCATTTTTATTTTAATATAATTTAATGTGGTAGGTACGAAAAATATCATTAGAGAGCTAAGGGTTTTAAATGATCAAGAATCATCATACGAGTGCAGCTGAGGGTAAACTATTCAAGTTTGTATTGAGGTCAAAGACATGATTTCGATCATGGTAATGCATCTTTAAAGTCCTATCATTATCGTTATTCGAACGTATAGTGATTGAAAACCAATCATGTGTACTAGGTTGATGTTGTGCCTCAGAGCCTTAGATGTCGATCGGCCTGATTTAAGGGTAGGTTAGGGTACTAGCATAGTTAAGGCAAATTTACTTCGATCAGTTAACGCTGGTCAAAGAATCGATATCTCAATTTTCACTTGAGGCAAATTAATATCCGAATAGGGTTGTATTACGAAAATTTCATTTTTGTAATTTCATGTAAGTTTCTGCAAAATAATTTTCTCATGTGATAAGTATGTGATAAGTAGGTTACCGGCATTACAGAAGTTTGGCTAGTATTATGTATTGAATACATGATTCGCACTGTAACAGTAATTACGATATTTGATGGGAAAATTGTAAGAACGTAAAATCATCATATGTTCAAAATTACAATTAAATGAAATATTAATGCACACAATTATGACATTTTTAATAGAACTCTGGAAAAGGATAATAATATTGATCTATTTTGATAAGGAATTCACCAGCTTATTTTGAAATTCTGAACCAACTTCTCTACAAAGTTTTCAAAAAGAAGTGAAAAGACATTAAAGTAAATTATTGATTAATAGAAATGTTAATAGTGTATACCAATGAAAGGACT